CAGACTGTTGTTGTTATGAACTTGATTTAAATTCAAAAATTTCGAGGCAGAGGCATTTAGCACAGTTTTTCTTTCGAGGCTAATAGAAATGCGAACATCCGTACGATGCAGTTGTTCAGTGCGGTGTATATGCTTGGGTGTGTGCTGAGAGACAATATTGGAAAACAAAATCAAAATTTTGTATCACCCCGCAATGCCGACATTGTTCGCTCTATGTCTGTTATCGACACTAGTAAGAGCATATAAAACTGCTGATGATGGATCTGAGTGTAGATTAAGAGAAGATCCATAATAAATGAAGTTTCTGTGCTAACAGATGTAATTTATAAACGCACGCTATCATTCGTTTTTTGTCTACAATAAATATGTACTGATTCGAGTTTTATTATTATGTTTATTTTATTTTATTCCATTTATATAACGCATTTTACTTTTACATATTTTATCTCTCTTTCTGTGAAAAAATATGTTTTTATTGGCATGCAGTGATATTATCAAACTCCCGATAAGGGTTTGTGGTGCTTATTGTTTTGCATTTGTTCACTTGGATCGTTTATTAATGAGGTGGGAGAGAAATGCTATTCAGAAATAACTTCTGCTAGTTTGTTAGCAAAATTCTCGTTGGGCAAACATAATATTGGTTTGACGATTTCTCTCCTACTGCTGTTATTGATACCAATAATGACAAAAAAATGAACCCTGCTAATGTCATTGAATGTTTCATCCGATTTGATGTATGTCAGTCTCGACCTCAAGACAACTAGTATGTCACAAAGTAAGCATAAAATGACACAGCATTTAGTCAATACAATAGTATCAATGAATACTTGTGCGCAGTTTGATTGTAATAAAGAGACAACGTTGGATCAAGTATCTGGGAACCAATGACGACGAAGAAGCTCTTCAACATAGCTGAAATAGTAGTTTTTACCGATGACCAGTGTGACAATGATGAAAATGAGAAACATCGCATCGAATTATTAAATTACACAGTTGATTTTATTGAAGACAGTAGTCAAATATGCCGATCAAATACATTCGAAAGGAAAACGTGTCGTTCGTGGAAGTCATGCAAAATTCAGAATACTTTTTCATCAGATATATCAGTTTGACGATTTCGCAGGTATCTCGTACAACAAGAGTCAAAACTATAGAAAACGAAGCTTGTCGATCAGTATACTTTCAGTATTTCAAAACTTTGACAAATACTGAAAGAACTTGCTGATCTTAATCGATGTACCACACGAATGCTGCTCACACATGAATTCTGGCAGGAATCAAAATGTGCTAATTCTTGGTGTTAATATTAATCCTGTTACTCTAACACTAAAAGTTATACCTACAACTTAGCAAATCTATTTTATTATTATGTGTGCTCAACCAACTTTTGATTCGACTTTTCTAAAACTGTATGAAATTCGTGTAGTACTGTTCGTCATTGGTCAGACAATGAAGCACGTCAACACATTATATGTTGTGTATAAGTGTGAGACAAAACTTTAAAAGAACTAAACACTGGAAACGAAGGGAAAAGAAACATCTGCCAGAGAAAGAAAGTAGGTACTCTTATCAGTTATATTATGAAATGATAATTTTACTTCAAAACATTATACAGATATCTGCAATTCATAATATAGTTGATAAGAGTACCTACTTTCTCTGGCAGATGTTTCTTTTCCCAGCATTTCCAGTGTTCAGTTCTTTTAAAGTTTTGTCTCACATCTATACACAACATACCGAGTGCTTACACACTTCATTATTTGACTGACGATAGTGCGTTCTTCTACTGAATGTTTCTGTATTAAGTACAGCCCTGTCTCCTCCGAGAATGATGACTCCGGCACTAGATTAGATGCCAGTTTAAATGCCGTTCAAGTAATCATTATCGATCTCTCAGCTCTACTTCTGCTATTGACTTGGTGACGCAGAGTATCGCTCAATTGTCATAGCATCGCACAATAAAAGGAACCATCCAATTGCCACTTTTAAGATCGATCATTTTATTTGAGGAAAAATTATTAAGTGCGAGTGTTAGATCGTTTTACTGGTTGATCAGTGATGCACGCTTGGTATAGGTGAGCATGACCTTCCAAAAAACATGGTATTGAGAACAATAAGATTACGTTGAGCTCCACTTCATGGCAATTTTATAATCGAAAAAGGAGTACATCAGCGTATTCGCTATCCGTTTGACTGAATTAGACGGGACAAGAATGAATTGTACGAGGAACAACTTGAAAATGACCGTATCCGTAGGTCGAAATATCGAATTGTAATTTTAATTATTGGTTTTAGTTTTAATTTCTAATTTTTATTAAACTTTTATTAAAATTCTTATCATGATAGCCGCAATTATTCTTAAATTCTTATTTTTCACTTTGGCCATAAACCGAAATAATAATATACCTTTTTATACAACATGCAGAGAAACCAACAAATACAAACTCGTATTAACATTTTGTAATGTTTCCTTCATTAATATTGAAGCAAATATTGATAATGCTTCTTTCCGCGTAAATAATTTCGTTTTTTCTGTTCTGTTAGTTTATCGGCAATTTACTCGAAAGAACTGGGTGCTTGGAGACATATGATATCTCAACAAATAATGCGAAATGTTCTGCATAAAAACTGTATATTTGATATTTTCTTGGATGTTTATCATAAGGCACAAAAGTTAAGCAACAAAAACACACATAATTTTTGTACAAATTGTTGAGGTTTTCTGTGTACAGTTTTATTTGTTCGTCGTTGATCCTTGTTTACTGTTGCGATCAAATCATGTGTACTTATATCCTACTCCGCCGAAGCTACATGCGAAGTCTGATTAGAATGATCCCCCTGCTGTGTCGAACAGACAGTTAATATCAAATCGTATTCCACAATCTTTCATACGAAAGAAGCGTGGATGAGAATCACAACAGCTGTCTTCCCACAAAACAACACGTTGACTTTTGTTTTATGTGAGAATAGTGAATGAGAATGGTTCATCTTCTGTTTATCGCAATTCTTCTTTCGTGCTCTGCTTATGCGACAATATTTCGACCGGTGGTGCTCATGCACGGTGTCACAGCAACGGCTGCCGATATGAATGAACTCGCTGGTTGGCTTACCACAGCATTTCCGGGTATCTATGTCATTTCGATTGAAATTGGCAATGGCTACGACGATTCCTTTTTATTACCGCTGAACAAACAAGTGGAGCTCTTTTGTGCTACTATCCTTGCCGATGCACATCTGCGTCAAGGCTTCAACATGCTCGGTGTCTCGCAAGGCAGTCTGATAGTGAGAGGAGCAGTTGAACGATGTTCGCTGCCCGTCTACAATCTGATCACTCTTGTTGGTGCTCATCAAGGTGTCTTTGGCATTCCTGGTCTTAAATTGCTTCCTGCCGAATTTCGCGAATTAGTCTCAAAATATGCATACGAGGAACCTGTTCAGAATGTGATTAGTGTAGCGGGCTTCTGGCGTGATCCTTTTAGACTGGATGAATACACTAATCGCTGTCATTTTCTTCCAGACATTAATAATGAACGTCAAGTTCGCAATGAAACCTATCGTATGAATATGCTTAAGCTCAATGCATTTGTTATGACCTATTCGGATATAGACGAAGTTATAACACCACCACAATCGGGCTGGTTTATGGGCTATGCACCACAATCACTGGACGTCGAAATATGGAATCAGTCGCGTCAATTTACTGAAGATCTCATCGGGATGCGTTCGTTGTGGGAACAAGGCAAATTGCACCTATTTACTTCACATACAAAGCATGCGGACTCTCAACATGCTCCCAGTAAAGAATTTTTCTTTCAGAACATCTTACCATTTTTCAATAATACGCTTCCATAATTGTTCGAGTGTAAGAATACATAAGCCAACGTGAAAGACATCGACAGACTGTCATTAAAATCAAGCTTCTGATAATATTGATAAAAGGCGAATTGTCGAAGTTCCGACTTTTTATGTAGGAGTAGATGGGACACTAATGGAAGGAAATATATGGCCATGTGAAGCATCTTGTGATAAATCTTGTCAGCTGTTCTGTCATATTGAATTGATAAAGACTATTGAATGAAGTCCAAAGCTCCACAATTTGAGTTTTATCAGCATTATCAGACGATTTCTACAACACTTGTTTCATTTCTTTCATGTTTTATATTTCTATTGTTTCTTCTGCTCATTTCCCACATATTGTGGATCCTGGAAATATGAATAGTCCAAGTTTCCAAGGCTTGAGCCTTCCTGTAACAAAATAAACGGTTGTAAAAGAAAATGTTATTCATTTAGAATAAAGTTGAGTCTAAATATCGAAATGATATTGTAATAATCAGCAATCTTATTTTTCGCTGACTTATTAGACGTCTAATATCACCCGCCAGAAAAACATCAACTGTGTGCAGCGCCACTATTCTGAATCAGTAAATCAGTGAGAATATTTAGTTAGTTACTTAATGAAAAATGGCATACTAATGAAGAACAGGCTAAGTATTTCGTTAATCAATTTCTTTGTTTTTGAGTTTTCAGTAATTTACGAGAGCCACCGTATGAGAAAGGAAGTTATGCCGGAGTCTATGAATTAACCACATTGCATCTGATCTGATATGTTATTAATAGATTATTTATTACCCGCAAAGTGGTTAAATTCTATTTACAATACTTGATTTCATTCTAAAGAAAGCTTCGAGTGCTGGAGATTGTCTTTCATTGTTGCTTGAAGTAACTGATACACAAATCTTACATAGAGATATTGAGTACATTCAGTATGAGCTAGATGAGTCATCAGACTCAAAATTGCTTGCACCTGTGTAAAGTGACTTACCATTAGTCCGCTCAGTGCTATTCGAACACGCTCTTGTGAGCTGTACCTAGAAAAACGGCTCTGCCAATTTTGATCTCTGCAATTTTTTAGGAAAACAACACGACCACTGCAGAATAAAAATGTTACTTCTTAAATATCTGGTCGATACAGATCCATCAAGAATATTATTCTGTGTAGTAGGAAGTGTATGAGTATTTGAACGCCGATGTGCAGGAACATTGTCTTTTCTTGGTTGTCAAAATGAAACTGAAAAGCAACGATATTAAACAGTATTATTAAAGGGTACACTACGCACATTCGCATGCTTATATTCCGGTGTACATACTCGAAGGAAAAGAGGCCGTCCACATGCTATATTGTCACTTACAGGAGAGGAAGAAGTAGAGGCCACATGATGACTATTGGCGACAAGCGTGGGCGTCTGGAGGTTAATATCATCCGTCCTAAAAACAGTAGTTCCTAGGGAAAGCTTTTGGATGCGGAAAGCATCTGTGCTTCTCTTTTGTAGAAGAAACATTTCTCTACAAAATGAGGCATTCCCAACCAGTCTTCCGAGGGGTCTTTCGAACGCTCGTTTTACGTGTTCCGATGGGCCTCGAACGCTTATTTCGAGGGATCGAAGTGCCATTTTCCGAGGGGTCGAGCCCTCGTCGAGGGGGTTT